GCCGTCTCTCTGGACTTCATGAAGTAGGAAATTCCTTTCTTGCAACATATGATACGCCGGAAGGGAATGACAGGAACCAGGTGAAGAACCTGCCATGAGCTGTTTCTCTCCCAGTCATTCAGAGCCATTCAGGGCAGTCTTTGACTTACAACAGTTCATTTAGTGACAACCGCACTGAAAGAAGTGACTTATGTCTGTTTTTCATACTTATGACCGTTGTTGTTCTGTATTGTACATTAGCATTCTTGTAAATAACCGTTCTGATCGGCTAGGACGCGCGGCGACCCGATTGGTCGAGCAAGCTGCACTGATTGGCCCGCTGCGAATCCCCCGCGATTGGAGGAAACCGATCGCGGGAGATTCGAAGCGGTGTCATTGGCCGCGGCTTGGCCGGCAAGTTCAATATAAGCCACCACATACCCTAGCCGAGCGAGCCGATCTCAGAATGAATAAAGAGCTGAAAATCACTAAGCCTTCTGTCTTCCTTTCCGATCGGCGGACTTAACACTGGTGACGAGGGTGGGATTTCGGAACTGATACCCACCGAGCACGTGGCACCAAGATAGAAGCAGCCATCAAGATGGCCAGCATCGCGCCACCCGCACCCTTTAACCAAGCTACTGAGGACTGGGAATCGTATATAGATCGATTCCTAATGTTCTTGGAAAGTAGCAACCTCAAGGACGCGAATGGGCAGAAAAAAAGGGCCGTCTTCCTGACACACTGCGGGCCCGCAGTGTTTAAGATGGCGAAAGCCCTCGCGAAACCCGAAGATGTGAAGGCGATGGACTGGGCCGACCTCGAGCCTTTACTGCGGAGCCACTATGCCCCCGCCGTGCCCACCCTCATCAGGCGGCACGACTTCTACCGCCGGGACCAGAAAGAGGGTGAGAGCATCGGCGATTTCGTGGCGGATCTGCGGAATCTGGGGGGCATGTGCGGCTTCACGGATATGGACGAGGCGCTACGTGACCGCGTCATCCTTGGGCTCAAAGAACCCGTTCTACAGAGCTGGCTGATGGCGAGGGGCGACATCTCCCTCACAGACGCCCTCGCCGAGGCAACCGCAGCCGAGGCAACCCGGAAGTCCGCAGCCCGAATGCGACGAATTGACGGGGCAGATCGACCCGCGACCACCGAGGCGACCCAAACACCTGAGACACTCCCAGAGACGAACGGCCGAGCGACCACCACCACCCATCATGGCGACCTTGACTCCCTGTCCGACACCACCGATGAAGAGGAGGACATCCACCGACTCCAAGCGGAAAGAGACCGGCGCGAGCGACGGAGTCGTAAGTTGGGACTACAATGCGCCGGGTGCGGGGGTGACCATCCTCGGGCAGACTGCCGTTTCTTTGATGCGATCTGCCGGCATTGTGACAAAAGGGGGCACATCGCTCGAGTCTGCCGTTTCAAACTAAACTACAGCCCCCGACGGCCAAACAGCAGTGGCCGAAGACGAGACAGCACCCCCCCCGGGCAAGAGACCGCCAAGCCGAGAGCCAGTGGAGCCGAGAGGGACGGACCGACGAAACGGCGAGAACCGACAAAGAGAAGAGACCCATCAGACGGTCATCATCAGCCATTCGTCCAGCTGGGATGCCCGCAAGGTACATGTGGAAGTGGGCATCGAGGGCCAGCCATGCAAAATGGAGGTGGACTCCGGGTCCTACCTCTCCATGGTTGCATGGAGGGAAATAAAGCGCCTGATGCCCAACATCCAAAAGAGGGAACTGGAAAGCCAAAAGCTAATTTTAAAGGACTACCAAGGGAACCGCATCCCCGTAGTCGGAACCGGACAATTTAAAATCACTTTCAAAGGGCGAACAGCAACATTTCCCCTAACAATCGTGGACTGAGACCGACCCAGCCTATTGGGACTACAGTGGTTTGCGCCACTCGGAATCGGAGTGACGGGCATCAACCACATCACCGAAGCAGACTGGGAAGAACAGCTCGCGAGGGACTTCCAGGAGGTCTTCGACGGCAGCCTAGGCAAGTACCGAGGGCCCCCTATTTCCTTCAGCCTAGATCCCAGCATCCCCCCGATCCGCCTTAAACCACGGCGAGTGCCTTTCGCACTCAGACCCAAGATTGATGAGCAGATAGATAAGCTCATCAAACAGGGAGTGCTAGAACCGATCGACCACGCCAGATGGGAGACCCCCATAGTCACCCCGGTCAAGCCCGATGGGTCGGTGAGAATCTGCGGGGACTCTAAGGCCACCCTAAACTGCGCCTTACAGCAAAGCGCCTACCCCATCCCGGTAGTCCAGCACCTCCTGCACTCACTGGGGGGGGGGCAAGGTTTTCGCGAAGCTCGACCTGACGCAAGCCTACCAACAGCTGCCGGTCGACGCAGAAACCGTCGAGGCACAGACCATAGTGACCCACCGGGGGGCTTTCCGCTGCAAGAGACTCCAGTTCGGAGTCAGTGTGGCACCCGGAATTTTCCAGAGCCTTATGGAAAGGCTACTCCAAGGCATCAAGGGGGTAGTGCCCTACTTTGATGATGTGCTGGTATCAGCGGCCAACACGAAACAATTAGAAAGCTGCCTAAGGGAGGTACTAAAGAAATTCAAAGACCCTTTTCTCAAGACGGTGGAGTGGCGGTCTGCAATGGCTGCCACAAAGAAGCCGGCAGCTGGGTAAGATTGTGCAGGAGGAAGAGGAGAAAGTTTGTGAAGAGAAAGTTTTTTCTTGGCTGACCCAGGACTTTAAGATACACTTAACATCCTGAAAACTATGTTTTTTGAATGATATTTTGTTTCCAGAAGAGAATTTTAAGTGGCAAATTTGAGGTGCTGAAAAGGAAAGTATACTCTCCTTCCCTATGGAATCAACAAATGGATATTGAGAAACCTGTCTTTTTATAGAAGGTAAAAATTTGGCTTTTTGTGATAAGTGGGAAGGGAGAGGACAAAAAAAATAAATATTAAGATCTTGTTGGAGGAGATGCCTTAAGGATTTTGAGACTGAAATTAATTGCAATAAGGCTTTAAAACATAGATTGGGCTTTTCTTTTTTTTAACTGATATTACCCCAGGAAGAGAAAGTGAGAACTTTGTGTTTTGCTTGGACTGATTGATGACTCTGGGACTTTGGGACTGTTCTAACTTTTGAACCATCTTGGTTGTTTTAAGAAGAAGAAAAAGAAAAGAAAAGATTTACAATGGCTTTATCTGTTGATGAACTTAGAAAGGAATATGGAAAGATAAAGAAAGAAGGCAAGGACGCTGTGAAAGAAGCCTTTCTTTTTTTAGAAATGGCGCTTGCTATTTATCAGCAAACACAACAACAGATGGAGAAAGAAGAAGAAGAAGAAGAAGAAGAAGAAGAAGAAGAAGAAGAAGAA